TAATATATACAAGAATGTTTAGTCTGGCATCACAGTGAAAACCCACAATACTCTAATGCGGGAGGGGTGAAATTAGTGCCAAGTTTATTAGCATTCAAAATATCACCTCCCTTCCTGCAAATCTTTACTTACACAATTAAGCCTTACACTTGTGTAGTCTCATTTGCTTCAGTTTGACTACTCACATGTCTAAGAACTATTCTTATGATGAGTTAACAGTTTACAATATCACGCTCTAACTGTTATTCTTCACTGTGTTATCCGACACTTTGTTAGTCGCTAAGATAGAATCCTTTCCGTATACAAATTGAAATTTGGGTGCTGTCTGCTGATCGCTGGTCCCTCATTCAATAAATCTGATCTCACGGTAGAAAGAATTTATCATCAGGGTCTGAAAACTCTGATAAGTATCGAGCTGCTTAATTACAAGGTTTTCTTGGAGGTCTGTATTGCAAGCGTCAGCAAGGTGACATAATTTCCTCGAACTGTGGCAACAATTCCATCTTGGACTCCAAGAGAACCTCTCCTTCCAAATCTACCATGCTACATCCACCAGTAATTAAATTTTCCTCTATCAAATACTTTTTACACCCTAAACTCTTCAATAGCTACTTATATTACGGTTGTTGCTAGAGTCCATGGGATTATCCATTATTATTACCCAGATAATTAAAGTAGAAGTACAAAAGTTATAAAGTTTATGAGGTACAACTCATCAGAAGAATGTGAATTATGAATTTTCAGTACATTGTCAATTGGCGTTTTCCACAATACCAAAGCTACAACAGTCCTTTAATAGTGTACACTCAAGCAATCAAACTGGCCCAGAGGAGGAGACGGGCTAATAAGGATATGTCATGACATATGCTAATAAGACGGGCTAATAAGGATAAAGCATGACACCTTTGGTCATGAGGAAATATGAATGCAGACCACAGCCTACATCCAGATCAGAAAGGGTCACATTCCTTGAACAAGTTGCTAGGTGTCCCAAGTATTTCAGTTCACAATACTAACCAAACTAAGACAAAAAGAAAAGGAGTACTTGTGGCACCTTAGAGACTAACCAATTTATTTGAGCATGAGCTTTCGTGAGCTACAGCTCACTTCATCAGAAGACAGAAGCTACTATACGACTCAACGACTGTTGCTTTTTTGTGCCACAGTAGTCAGTATATTTTTTTAAAAAACCATAATGTCAAGGTTTTATCACTTGACCACAAAAATCTAATGCAGTGATATTTAGTCTACAAGGTCTCAGTAAGAAACAAGAACTTTTAAATACAATTTAAAATAAACCTGACTTCACTGACAAAAGCAACCAGCTGTAATTTCAGATGCTCTGCTAAGTTCCTTGCCAGTCATTTTAAACATATAGCTGCCTCACTGTTGTACCAGGGTACCACAGATCTGACATTAATACACTAGATCACATAACACATTGCATTACATAGGCACAGCATAAGCTAAGGGATGAATTGGGCTTGATTCTGAATTTCCAAGATTTTGACATTTTAAGGCTAGCCTCTAAGGTTACTTTTGCGTAGTTTGCAGTATATTTGGATTTATATTAATAGAATCCATGTTGCTTATCTGAGACTCTGGCACCTTGTGGTCTCTGCAAAGGTTGCCAAAAAAAAAAAAGTTTTGGAAGTCAGAAGTATCAGGGCAACTCCCACATGGGAGATATGAGGAGGCAGACAAGAGCCTGTTTTGACCTTGCAAAAATGGCAGCCCCCAAGTTTTCCAAGTACAGTAGTAATTTCTAGACATGAAAAACACAGTCTTAGAGCTGAAACAGTTTCTATACATAAAGTTTCAAGAAATCAGAGTTGTCAATTTCTCTGTCTGGGGCAAGACTGGACAGGCCAGGACTCTATTTCGTTCATTTAGCTGCTCTATTTCTTTGAGAGATTTTACAATAATCAAACTGTCTGATTTTTAAAAATAGCCAGAGCAGGCAGTATATTATTGCACTAGATGCTATAGGGTCCCTTCTGTAGGTGCTGACAGAGAAAGATATGCAAAATGGACCTCTCTCACACCAAAGCCTTGTTTATTTCACTTTGTAAACATCTTAAGAAGCAGATGTATGTATTGCAGGTAACAATGGCCAATCTAATCTTTCCCTCTCCTGCAAGAAACTGACAAGATATTTGAAAGCTTTGTTTTCTTTCTCCTCAGTGATACCCTCCCCCAAACCAAGAGGAAAAGACAGTGGACTGAGCCAAGTCTCTACAGTCTTATTTTCTTCTCCTCCTGGGTTCTTGAGGAGGGAGTATTATTTGTTACTGGTGGAAAGAAAAACCACGTGGCTGTTATTGGGGGAAGGAAGGCAATGTAGTGTAAGATATAGAAAGTGAATAGTAGCATGGCAGGGAGTAACCTGCTGCAAGGAGAACATTAAATCGGGGAAGAATGAAATTTGATGAGCAAGGAGGATTCTTTTCACATAGTGCTGGGCAGTGATCAGTAGTTATTCCAGAGTGGGACTGTAAGGGGCAAGGTGCAGGGAAGAGAAGGAGATGATTATCTTGATCTGGTCAATAGCCTGGAGGAAGGTTATTACATTATGCAGTGCAGCGAAGATTACTTGACACAGGAAGTTGATGGGGCAGATTTTGTTTCAGGGGATGAGGTGTCCTTATATACAATTACCTGGGGAAGAGCTACCAGATGTATTACCTGGTGAAGGTGTCAACCACCCCAGCCAGGAAGGTGATGGGACAGCACCCCTTGACCCTTACTACCTCCCATCTCCACAGCTCGTACTTGATATAAGGCTGTGAAGAGCCAAGTACCTGTCTGTGAGGATGGGAGGTAGCAATTACCCTGCCCTTGTCAGGGAAGTCACCTCTCAGATACCGTCACCTGGGTAATGCCCAGGGCAAAAGCAGCATGTCTCCTAGGAGTCAGCCACACAAAAGTAGGCATCAAGCCTAAGAGGTCCTGGCCCCTGGGGAGTGGAACAGACCACCTACCGGGGCAGGAGGTGACAGCCCTGGGGGTGGGTGGGGGAGATCAGTGTGGGGTGGCGCCATGAGGATAAGTCCAGAGCAGTCTGGGAAACAAAGTCCCCTAGGAGTCCCAATCCCAGAGGGGGAATCATTCAGGGGTGAGGTGCAGAGGGAAGGCCCCCTGGAGGTGCCAGTCCCAGGAGAGATCCGAGGGGCCCAGCCCCAGGGTGGTGGTGGTGGTGGTGGGGGGGGGGAGTGCCAGCCCAGGGAGGGTGGGAGAGAAAGTCTCGCTGGTGTCAGTCCCATGGGGATGTGGGAGGGAGGTTCTCCCGGAGGGATGCGGGTCCATTGCCGGGGTGTCAGTTTAATGGGTGATCAGGCACGGGGATCCGGTCCCGGGGGCAGTCCAGGCCGGTGTCCAGTCGGGGGGGGGGGGTGTCAGAACCGGTCACGGGGAAGGGGTCCGGTCCCAGGGGGCAGTTCGGACCAGTGTCCGGGCCAGGGGGGGGCGGGTGTCAGGACCGGGTGCAGGGAAGGGGTCCAGGCCCCGGGGCAGTCCGGACCGGTGTCCAGGCCGGGGGAGGGTTGTCAGGACCACGGGGAGAAGGGGTCCAGGCCGGGAGGGGGGGGTTGTCAGGACCGGAGGGGGAAGGGGTCCAGGCCGGGGGGTTGTCAGGACCCGTGTCCAGGCCGGGGGAGGGTTGTCAGGACCGGGGGGGGAAGGGGTCCGGGCCGGGCGGGGGGGTTGTCTAGGCCGGGGGAGGTTGTCAGGACCGGGGGGGAAGGGGTCCGGGCCGGGCGGGGGGGTGTCCAGGCCGGGGGAGGGTTGTCAGGACCGGGGGGGGGGAAGGGGTCCGGGCCGGGCGGGGGGGTGTCCAGGCCGGGGGAGGTTGTCAGGACCGGGGGGGGGAAGGGGTCCGGGCCGGGCGGGGGGTGTCTAGGCCGGGGGAGGTTGTCAGGACCGGAGGGGGAAGGGGTACGGGCCGGGGGGGTGTCCGGACCGGTGTCCAGGCCGGGGGGGGGGGGTTGTCAGGTCCGGGGGGAAGGGGTCCGGGCCGGGGGTTGTCAGGACCCGTGTCCAGGCCGGGGGAGGGTTGTCAGGACCGGGGGGGGAAGGGGTCCGGGCCGGGCGGGGGGGTGTCTAGGCCGGGGGAGGTTGTCAGGACCGGAGGAGGAAGGGGTACGGGCGGGGGGGGTTGTCAGGACCGGTGCCCAGGCCGGGGGGGGTTGTCAGGACCGGGGGGGGGCCGGGGGGTTGTCAAGCCCGGGTCCAGGCCGGGGGGGGTTGTCAGGACCGGGGGGGGGGGTCCGGGCCGGGGGGGGGTGCTAGGGGGAGGGGTCCGGGCCGGGGGGGGGGGGGGGGGGGGTGTGGCGGTGCCAGGCCGGGGGGTTGTCAGGAGGGGGGGGAGGGTCCGGGCCGGGGGGGGGGGCAGGAGGGGTCCGGGCCGGGGGGGGGGCAGGAGGGGTCCGGGCCCGGTACCTGGTGCAGCGCTGTCAGCCCGTCCACGTTGGCCGTGTTGACGCGGGCGCCGCGGGCCAGCAGGCGCTTCACCTCCTCGGCGTCGCCGCTGGAGCAGGCGGCCAGGAACACGGCGCCCTCTTCGAAGCGGACGCGGGGCGCCCCCCCGCCGCGGTGCCGGCCCCGGGCGCCCGCCGGCGCCCCCGGCTCCAGCTCGGTCAGCGAGCCCTTCCAGCGCCGCAGCTGCTCGGCCCGCCGCAGCCGCGCCGACTCGGCCCGCTTCACCCCCAGGTGCCCCGGCTCCGACATCGCCGCCGCCGCCGCCGCACTGAGGAGCAGGGACCGCAGCGGGCTTCACCCCGGAGGAGAGCGCAGCGCCCCCGCCGCCATGTTTACGGCTCCTGGGCCGCAGCGCGCAGGCGCCGCCGCCCTCAAGCACCGCGGGACACGTAGTTCCCCCCCCCCCGGCCCTGAGCGGACTACCACTCCCAGCATCCTCCGCGCCCCGGGGCCGCGCCCCTCCGCTCCGCCCGCCGGCGCACCGCCGCCCCCGCGGACTACAACTCCCAGAATCCCAAGCGGCCAGGGCAGGGGGCGGGGCAGCCTGCGGAAGCGCTTTCCCCGTCGTGCGGGTCGGGACGAGGGTCCTGCGAGCAAGGCCCCTGGTGCAGGCCGGTGAGTACCGCGACTGAGAATGGTGGCAGCCATCAGGGGCCTCAGGAGCTCACCTACCCCCTGCCCAAAGCAGGGCCAGTCCCCAGTTTTTGCCCCCCAGATCCCGAAATGGCCCCCTCAAGGATTGAACTCACAGCCCTGGGTGGAGCAGGCCAAGGCTCAAACCACTGGGCTGCCCCCCCCCAATATCTGGGGGCAGGGGTGCCAAGAAACCCCCCCCCCCCCCCCCCCGGTTTTGCACGACAGCCGTAGCAGCCCGGGGCTTCTGCTGCAGCCTGGCATCGGAGTCCGGCTCCTCGGCGGTGTCCTGCCGAGACCGTCCCCAGCTGCGGATTTTCTATGCGCAACTCCCAGAAATAGATTTTTAAATGTATTTTAAAAGCAACACATGTCAGGCTGCACAGTTAGGCCTTGAGCCTGCGAACACTTCCGCACAGATGGCACCTTAAGCACGTTACTGGGCCCACTGAGATTTGCGGGATTAGGGCCTAAAGCATTCAAATGTCCGGAAGTGTTGATGCTGAACTGCAAGTGCTTGCCTAACTTTACACATGAGTGGTCCCATTGAAACCGAAGGATATACTCACATGCTTAAAGACAAGCACGTGTATAACTGTTTGCAGGATCAGGGCCTAAAGGCGCACATACAGACTTTCCCCTGCCTCCTAAGTGTGCATCATGATCCAGTTTTTAATTAATAATAATAATAATGAATTGTAATAAATTAATATAACATGTTCTTTCTTTTTGTCTTCCCTTTGATCAGTAGGAACATTTGATTGAAAGGAAGAACTTCGTTGTTTAGAAATTAACTCACTCATGTGCCTTATTCCAAATTCAGTACACTCCCTTTGATACATCACATCTGTTTGTCGTGGGAATATTTTTAAGGTTACAAACTGAGAAAGAAGGAGCAGCAGATTAATTTTTAAGTAACAAAGTTCCTATTTTCATGAACAACAACAAGCAGAGAAGGAAAAAAGTACCCAGAACATATTAGATCAGAGCTGAATTGCTTCAAAACAGAATATTTTTCAGTTTTCCATTAGGAGTCAGTGACTACATTTTATTCGATAGTTTCAGTATGTTTCTGTTACATGTACAATAGAACCTCGCCAATACGAACACCAGAGTTACAAACTAACTGGTCTGCACACCTCATTTGGAACCAGAATTACGTGATCAGGCAGCATCAGAGAAAAAAAAAGGCAAATACTGTATGACTAAGCAAAATGGCAAGCAGTAGGAAGCGCAAACGTGTCACACTTTCAATTGACACAAAACTAGAAATATTAAAAAAACTAGAAAGTGGTGTTAGCCTCAGCAACATAGCAGTAGAATATGGTATTGGGAAATCCACCATCACCGATATTCGGAAAAGCCAGGAAAAAATAAAGCAATTTGCAAAAGAAGCCAAAGACAACGGAACAGTAAAAAGCAGGTGTATTGTACGCAAAGCTGCTGATGATGCTTTTGATAAGGCAATGCATCTGTGGTTTGCACAAGAGAGGTCAAAAGGCACTCCTATAAGCGGTGTGATGGTTACAGAAAAGGCAAAGTTACTCTACCGAGAAATGTATCCAGACAAAGGTGAGAACCATTTTAAAGCAAGCACAGGATGGCTCTGTCGGTTCAAAAATCGGCATGGAATACGGCAGTTGAGGATGCAAGAAATGTTCCTGACAACTGACTGGAATGCTGCTGGTGTATTTAAAAACATTTTCAAATCATTTATTGAACAACATGAACTTACTCGGGACCAAGTGTTTAACTGCGATGAGACTGGCTTGTATTGGCGCCTGCTTCCAAACAAGACTCTGGCAGACAGTTCAGAAAAACAGGCGAAGAATTTCAAATCCAGTAAAGATCGGGTCACGCTGATGGCTACCGCTAATGCAAGCGGGGATTTCCGTCTCCCATTGGTGTTCATTCACAAAAGGGCGAAACCTCGCTGCTTTGCAAACGTCACTATGTCAGCTCTACCTGTCCATTACTACAGCCAGCGCTGTGCTTGGATGGATAAAGGCATTTTCTCCGACTGGTTTTTTAAACACTTTGTTCCGCTTGTGAAAGACTACCTTACCTCAAAATCGTTACCTATCCGAGCTGTGCTACTGATGGATAATGCGCCATCTCACCCTGCCATTGAAAATCTATTGACGGAAGACGGAAGCATTCGGTGTTTGTTTTTGCCACGAAACGTCACCAGCCTCGTTCAGCCAATGGACCGAAGTGTTCTGGAAAACATGAAATGTCGATACAAGCGAAACCTCTTACAGCGATTATTATTGGGATCAATGCAATTTGAATCTTACACAGATTTTTGTAAACAGCTGACAATCAAAGATGCTGTCTACATGTGTGCCGAGTCCTGGAGTGAGATTAGCTCTGAGTCTTTGAGACGCAAATGGAATACACTTTGGCGGTGTATTGATAACACTGAACCAGATAATTTGGAAAACAGTGACCGGATGGAAATAAATCAACTAGATTTTTCTAAAGAGCGACAGCTTTTGGATATCACCACTGAGGAACAGGAGGAATGGCTAAATGCAGATAAACATGAGAACGGACACCCTATTCTTACTGACCATGAGATAATTGAATTGGTACGAGAAACAGCACAACCAGACAGTGACAGTGATAAGGAGGGGGAGAATGCCAAGAAGGTCCCACACATGCAAGCAGAAGAGTGCTTCACTGCCTGTCTTCAATGGCTTGAACAACAGCCTGAAGCCACACCGATTAACCTAATGATGCTTCACAAGCTACGCACCTTGGCAGCAAAAAAGCTTGTGAGCAACCTCAGGCAAAGTACCATTAAAGATTTTTTCAAGTCTACATAGTTTATGCTGTAAAGTTAAGCAAGAAAGTTAAGTTTGGATACTTTTCTTTTTTAAATTGTCGTTATAAAGACTAGTACCAGTATGTTTTGCTGCCGCATTTTTTTAGTGCTATTTGAATGGACATTTAAATTGGTGGCGCTTATGTTGGCTTTTTTTTCATGGATAACTAACGCTAAAAAAGAAGCAAGAGAAATTACTTAAAATTGAAATCTGGTATTGTGTTAAACGTAAACTACTAGAAAAAGGGAAAGGTGTTTTTCTTTTTTTTTAAAAGATTTGACAAGGTAAGGAAACGGTTTCTGTGCTTGATTCATTTAAATTAAGATGGTTAAAAGCAGCGTTTTTCTGCTGCACAGTAAAGTTTCAAAGCTGTATTAAGTCAGTGTTCAGTTGTAAACTTTTGAAAGAACAACCATAACGTTTTGTTCGGAGTTATCAACATTTCAAAGTTAGGAAAAACCTCCATTCCAAAGGTGTTTGTAACTCTGAGGTTCTACTGTATTGTATATTATGAGCTCCCTCTGGTGGTCACAGTTGGCACTTAACTTCCCTGTTACGTATTTATTTGACGAACAATCACTTTGCAGAGCCTATGGGGGTGTGAGCCTATCAGATGCTTAGCATTCTGGCCTGATCCAGCAAAACACTTAAGCACATCCTTAACTTTAAACATAAGGGTAGGCCCATTGACTTCAGTCTGTTGTGCAGGATCGAACTCTTCCTGAACAATGGAGCTAACTGCTCATGGTAGTAAGCATTATGCTTGGTGTTAAGTGTTTGCCGTTTCAGGCCTTACGCGGGCTGACTTTGATATAGGAGGGAGACTATGGTTTTAAATCATGCTTTATTAAAATTCAGTCTCCTGGTTGTTAGTGGTTCCCACATCTGTTGCATCTTAGTTGTTTTTTTATCTCTGTTTGCAAAAATCTCTATAATTCTGCATTAATTGTGTTTTCAAAAAGGACTTTCGCTGTCAGTGTGACAGATGTGGCAATTTCCTTAAATATCATGGTCCAGCCTTATTGAATGACGTTAAAGCTTATTGAATTAATATTCAGTATCTTAGGAGTTCATTATATTAAAAATGAAAATGTGTATGTATTATCGTGGGATTGTATAGAACATCTCTAGGGAGGAAACCTGGCTAAACGTTTACCCTAGCAAGTGTTATGAGCTTAGAAGACTCTTTGATACAATGTCCTAGACAAACAAATTAAAGTGGGATTCCTAGGAAATATTTGGGAAGAGGTGAAGGAAACTTCTCACCTCTGGACCCACCCTTTGACCCTGTGCTCTGAGGAAAAAAGTAAAGCAGACCTGCTCAGGCGGTCTGACTTTGCTGGGGAATTCACAGTGTAGACAGGGAACTGCTCAGCCTGGAAAGTCATAGATTCCAAGCCCAAAAGGGGCCATTGTGATCATCTAGTCCAGGGGGTTCTCACAACAAATTTTTGGTGGCCTCAGAGTGCAGCCACCAACTCTTGCTGGTGGTCGCTCTGATAATTTTTCCTAAAATACTTAACTTTAGGAAAAACAAATAAATATGCACATACACACATCCAAATCATTGTAATTTATTTATATAGGGGATTTTTTGCAGACTCAATAATAAAAATAATGGACAGTTCTGTCTATTCTTTACTGCACCTAAAGAGAATAGAAACACAAATAAGGTGTTTGCATGTTCTTGTCTTTTTGCTGCTGTTTCTTTTGCTTTTTTCGTTGCTTTTTTTTTTAGACTTAGTAGCTAGCAAGTCTGCTGCTGTGAAAAGTGATATTTGTATATTAATATCATTTTTACAGCCTCCCAGCTAGCTTCTAAGTCTTGTAGCCAATGATTTTAGTTTATTGTTCATTTATTATGTGATATTATATTAACTAACATGTTATGTCCTATATAATCATTGTATGTTAAATAGAGTTAAATTGTAGGATTGTAGAAGTATAAGATTGATCAGTAGTTAGGAGGGATCATTATTTATTAGGTATCTAAGTAAATAGGGCTGAAACGCAAGGCCTACAGGCTGAGGCCTGTAAGATTTCTGCTTAGCCGTGCTAGGCTTAAGAAATGCTTGACATAAGTAAGTGACCAAAGAATGACCCTATGCCACAAGATTATGGGAAAAGATGTACTAATGGGTGATATTCCAAAAAATTAACAATAAGAGTAATATTTTGCTTACAAGATACGTGGTAGTCACATTTTTCTAACACATGCCCTAACCACAGGGTTCGCTATGGGTGTAAATGCTAATGATGTATAGTCAGAATCACACTTTAAAAAGAGGGCGCCCAGATTAGGAAAATTGAGCTCCCTATGGGAAACTCCAGCAGGAACCATCCCTCTACTGATGATCAGTTAGCAAGGCAGCCATCAGACCTTAAGAATATCATTAAGGATGTGAGTATGGCTATATATGTAACTTGTGCATAGGTGTGTATGGAATTTCTATATGCTTGGGTAATCATAACTTTAACTGTAACTTTAATAAAACTTGGAAAACAGACTAGACCTTGTACTTGTGAATGTCTGTATGGTCATTACCGTTGGTCCTTATGTTCCCAGAGATTCTAAATCTGAAGCAAGTAGCAGAGGTGACTTTCACTCTGTTAAAAGAAAAGGAGTACTTGTGGCACCTTAGAGACTAACCAATTTATTTGAGCATAAGCTTTCGTGAGCTATAGCTCACTTCATTGGATGCATACTGTGGAAAGTACAGAAGACGTTTTTATACACTCAAACCATGAAAAAATGGGTGATTATCACTACAAAAGGTTTTCTCTCCCTCCACCCCACTCTCCTGCTGGTAATAGCTTATGTAAAGTGATCACTCTCCTTACAATGTGTATGATAATCAAGATGGGCCATTTCCAGCAAAAATCCCGGTTTTCTCCCCCCCTTCCCCCCAAATTATAACATTCATAAACAGTCGGAGAACACTTCAATCTCTCTGGTCACGCGATTACAGACATGAAAGTTGCGATATTACAACAGAAAAACTTCAAATCCAGACTCCAGCGAGAGACTGCTGAATTGGAATTCATTTGCAAATTGGATACAATTAACTTAGGCTTGAATAGAGACTGGGAGTGGCTAAGTCATTATGCAAGGTAACCTATTTCCCCTTGTTTTTTCTACCCCCCCCCCTTCCTCAGATGTTCTTGTTAAACCCTGGATTTGTGCTGGAAATGGCCCACCTTGATTATCATACACTTTGTAAGGCGAGTGATCACTTTACATAAGCTATTACCAGCAGGAGAGTGGGGTGGGGGAAGAGAGAACTTTTTGTAGTGATAATCACACATTTTTTCATCGTTTGTGCATATAAAAACGTCTTCTGTACTTTCCACAGTATGCCTCCGATGAAGTGAGCTGTAGCTCACGAAAGCTTATGCTCAAATAAATTGGTTAGTCTCTAAAGTGCCACAAGTACTCCTTTTCTTTTTGCAAATACAGACTAACACGGCTGTTACTCTGAAACCTTTCACTCTGTTGACCTTGAAACTAGCCACCAGAGCCGAACCCACGGTGGTGTAATACAACATTACTAAATTCACTTTAAATAAAATCCAAGCGTACAGATTGGCACCCAGCGTAGAGCTCTAAAGAACACAGACTACGTTAGACCGTATGGGTGTAATTAATACTATGGTGATCAGTGCGTTATAAGAACATGTAGCAAATAAGTGATGCCTAGACTTCTAGATAAAGGTGAATTTCACCCCAAAACTGAAAGTTATTGTTAAACTCAAATATTTGCCAAAAGCAAGGTTCAAATTGTATAAATAATCTACAGTGGGAATGTTTAATTTTGCACTTATATGTACACATCTCTCCTGTGATACCAGCAGCCCTTTCAATGCCAACCAGTTCAGATTCCCCTGATCCCAGGTGTGTCACATCGTATCCTGAGCATATGAAGTAGAGACGTTTGAACATTTTTCCCACAAAATGACTTTTTAACAAAATGGACATTTTTATGAGACAGTTTCCATTTTTGTCAAAATTTTTCAGGTTTTAGTGAGAAACCCCCCAAAAACCTGAAAACCTAATTTTTGATGTTTTTTGACAAAATACTTTGTTTGGGGGTTTTTGTGTGTTTTTCTGAAATCCTGAAAAATTCAGTGAAAATGTTTTAAAAAAAAAATGTCCATTTCCTTTGAAATTTTTTACAGAAAATAAATCAGATTTTTCAACCTGCTCTGGTACAAAGAGCCAGATTTTCTCATTCCAACCCAACTTCTTTGAGAAACTTGATTCAAATGCGTGGAACCTGGTCTTAATTAACATACTGAGAGGATTCCCAGTGGGCAGGGGCAACTCTCAGCTTGTATAAAGCTGGCATAGCCAGGTCCTGTGCCAGCTGCCCCCTGCCAGCATATGGAGTGTGTCAGGAGCAAGAGAGATGGGTTAAGCATCTCAATTGGTGTACTGGCTCTTGGGGATAACCAGCTGCCATAAGTTAGAGCAGCTTCTAGGGTACTCCAAGATTCTGTCTAGATTCAAAGTTGTACCAGTTTAACTTTAAATTAATTTAAAACTGATTTAATTAAACTACTGCAAATCACAATGCAGACACTCTTAATTCTGTTTACATCAGGATTATCTAAATTTAGCATAAACTGATTATTGAATTAAGTTAGATCGATATTGTGATGGTTTCCTCCCAGGTGCCACCTGGAACTGGGGTACCACTGAGCCCTCTGACCCACCAGCCTGGGCTCCCTCTCTCACTGTGCTGCTGTGACTGACTGCAGACCCGCTCCAGGTCCTATAATTCCACCAGCATTCGCACAGGTAGGGACACACCCAGCTGCAGTTACATGCAGGCTCTCTGATCAGCCACTGCATTTGAACCAACAATAGGGAGGCTACAGCCAAAATAACCCCCAGCTTCCCAGCCTAGGACCCCAGAGCTATACTGTCTTGCCCTAGTCCAAACCCAACCAGTATGAATTTTATTATCCAGTTCGCCTCCCCCTCAATGTGGAAAGGAAATGAAATGAAATAGCCTCTCTGAGTTAAGATTCCCATGCACTTCACTTCAAACTCACAGGTTTAGATTAAAACATAAATTCATTAACTACAAAAGATAGATTTTAAGTGATTATAAGTGACAGCAAACAGATCAACGCAGATTACCTAGTAAATAAACAAAAAAGCAAACCAAGCTTTACATACTAGAGAGATAGGATTTGACTTAACAGTCTCTCAACCTGACGGATGATACAAGCGGTCTGCAGATTCTTAAGATACAAGCTGCACTTGCTTTACAGCTTGGAATCCCAAGGTTTTTCAATTTCAGGCTAGAAATTCCTTTAGCCTAGGTCCAGCACTTCCCCGCCAGTTTAGTCTTTGTTCCTCAGGTGTTTCCAGGAGTCTTCTTGTATGAGGAGTGAAGAACAAAGGAAGATGTCACTTCCTGTCTTATATAGTTTTAGCATAGGGTGGGAACCCTTTGTTTCAAAACTTGGTTCCCAGACCGGTTTGTGGAAAAATACTGACATCCCAAGATGGAGTCCAGAAACATGTGGTCTGGACACATGCCCTTGCAGTGTTATAGCAGCCATTGCTTACAGGCTGGCCAAAATGCCCACAGGAAGGTTAAGCTATTCTACAGTCCATTGTTTTTGCTGATGGCCTATCAGCCCTGTCTGGCATCTTCATTGTTGTACCTGAAAGGCTGGCTGTGGGTGTATTCCAGAGTAAGCCCATTTGAAATACAGATCCCTAGTCAATATTTAGAACTTCAGATACCAAAATGATACATGCATACAAATAGGACGTATTCAGCAAATCATAACTTTTCCAATGACACCTCACATGATCATTGTGAAGAATATGGGGTGCAGTGTCACAGATATAAATCTCTTTTAAATCAGACTAAGCATCTACACTGCATTTTGCACCAGTTTAATGAAATTAGATTGAAGTCACTGATCCTGCAAACATGTTTAACTAGACTACCAGGAGTAGTTCCATTGACTTCAGTTACGGTCAATGTTCCCTCTAATTTTTGACGGGCCGTTTGCCCAAAAAATTTCTTCTGTGCAAATTTTTGACAGGCCATGTGCGCAAAAAATTTCTTCTGTGCAGATTGTTGTGCTTCTGTGCAAATTTTTGTGCGCATGGTATTTCGCTGTGTGTGCAGGGTTTAGGATCTGTGTGCACACGCACACAGCTTAGAGGGAACAGTGGTTATGGTTGGTAGCATATATGTGTTTGCAGGATCACCGTCTTAGTTAAAACAGTGTAACTCTAAATATAGGCAAGGCCTAAGTTACAGCTGGACCAGAACTGGAGCTTGCATCGATTGATCCACAAAATCAGACAGCTGTGTCTGGCCCCCAGCATTCTCCTATGTTAGTGCAAGAGAGACGACAGCCCATCAGCGGTTCTCAAACTTCAGGTTTCAGAGTAGCAGCCGTGTTAGTCTGTATTCGCAAAAAGAAAAGGAGTACTCGTGGCACCTTAGAGACTAACAAATTTATTTGAGCATAAGCTTTCGTGAGCATTCAGATGAAGTGAGCTGTAGCTCATGAAAGCTTATGCTCAAATAAATTTGTTAGTCTCTAAGGTGCCACAAGTACTCCTTTTCTCAAACTTCATTGCACCATGACCCCCTTCTGACAACAAAAATTACTACATGAGCCTGGGCCAGGGGCAGAGCGCTCAGGCTTCGGCTTCGGTCCCGGATCCCAGCGAGTCTAATGCTGGCCCTGGCGAACCCATTAAAATGGGCTTGCAACCCACTTTGGGGTCCTCCCAACCCCCAGTTTGAGAACCACTTGCCCAGATATTCCAATCTCGTGAAAATAGCAGAGTATGCAGGCTTGAAATTGACTTTCTATGAGCTGTCAAGATAATAAGGCTTGATTGCTTGAGTCTTTAAAGATAAATTGCTAATAATTTCAGAATACATTCAAACAAATAACTGGATATTAATGCAAAGTATTCTTGCAAAATACAAAACATACAAAGAGCGATCAAGAGCCTGGATATCAGAAAGAAAATGACGCCAACCAAAACCCCTTGTTGTACAATAAAATAATGACTACCCAGAAAACTGTTATCAAAGAACAGTATCAGAACACAGCTCCCAATAGGACTTCGTCTGGGGGGATAAGGTAAGTGCCTATAGCAGGGTTCCTTCCTCTGAAGGGGTTGATTTGGGACACAGCTGGAGACAGCATCTAGTAGCAAAAGGAGCTTTGGTTTGCTCCAGTCTGGCAGTATGTCCCTTTATAATATTGGGTTACAGGTGAGTAGAAACTGCAGAACAGCCTTTGTTTATTGCCCCTTTAAAGAAAATGGCTTAAGACATTTGAGGCAGTGTATCCTAGCGGATGAGATCAGGAGACCTGAGACTTCCCCTCCCTGTGCCTCAGTTTCCCCATCTGTAAAATGGGGGCAGTGAAACTTATCTCCTTTGTAAAGTGCTTAGAGATCTACTGGGGAAGAGTGCTATATAAGAGCTGGCTGTTGTGATAAATAAAGAGCTCTATG